ATTTCCACCACAAACTCTTGAACTCCCGAATCCCGAGCGAGCTTCTAGCCCTCAAGGATTCCCCATAACTCTGCCTCTAAAATTGAACAATACCAATGGATTTTGAGAACCTCGCAACCCAACTTCTTATAGAATCACTCAAAACTCTATCACATGTACTAAGTCCCGAATCCATCCGCCTGGAGCCATCCGTATTTAATTTGAACTATCCATGCTGAGGGGTTGCTATTGTGAGGAGCTAACAACAATCATTTTCACTGACTGTTGCTGAACAAGTGCTCTTAATAATTCTTGAATCATACGAAACTCCTCTGCAAAACACTTTCAAACTCCATAAACCCCTCATCAACCAAATGATTCATAAGACCACACCAAACAGGAGATTTCAATTCTCGAATGCATCCGGAAAGCGACTATTATTAGCAAGATTACCCTCAATCCATGTCATTAAATTTAGCTGAAAGAATTCGATCACTGATCCGCTTTAATTAGATTAATCCACACGTTTCTTGGTGGTAAACAATCGCTGAAAATGTGTAACGATGACTACACTGCTGCCCCACAATCAAAACAGCTTACATCGGGAGACATATATCGTCTCACACGCTCTTCATTCAAAAGAAGGTTATCCCTACACACTATCCTCAGAAAATTCTTCACCGGAGGAAAGCCATTATATCCCATAATGGTTTTTTATAATGGGGATTCCTCTATGGTGGGCAAGTGGCAACGACGATCATAGGCACTTTTAATAGTGAAAGTGAGCTTACTATCCCATTTCCACCCTGGGTTATCAACTCCTCCATGAAGAGTAGGAGGTTTCCCTGCCAATAAATGCAAATGAATCGAGCGAGAGATGAAATGTGTAATCTCCCCCACCTCCACTCACCATTACAATCCACAAGAGTATTAACAATAGAGTTTTACGGTGGAATTTCCTCTTGATCATGGCACAAAGATCGAAGGGGGCCAAGATCATTCAACCACGGATCATCTCAGAAGTCTACCGTTGAGCCATCACCCAGGTTCCAATCAATTTCACTCCTAACATCACTCCAAATAAGGCTAAGACATCTTCACAAATGAGAACAAACTGTTAGAAGTCAAACTCTTGGAATTGTGTAGAAGTTCAACGTGGCAAATGGAGATAGATTCACAAGTAAACAAAACAAAGTGGAAATGCTTGGCAGTACACTAAACCACACATGCATATGTCGGCAAAGATTTTTCTTTAATTGTTTGAATTCACACGGCAACATGTCAAGCAAGAATTAAGGAGAGAAGTTGAGAAGCATCCAGAGGTCCTCAAATAAGTCGGTTATACAACCTATATATATGTGTGCTTAGCCTTTAGTTGGTGTGAGGAAGTGAGCGTGAATAAAAAAGTGAGTGAGCGTAAATACGATTTAGGAGTGAAAAAATAAAGAGATTTGAGAGAATTGTGAGAAAGCTTAGCAAAGCTATATTTGTGAGTTTGTAAAATAGCAACAGTTAGTATTGCAGTATTGTAATATTGAGAGTGTCGTTGTAACATATTTTGTTTCATATAAATAAAAATTTCTGAGTGTTATAAATTATCGTGAGCCCATCTACGCTTCCAACAAGTGGTATCAGAGCCAGGTTCGAGTTCAACGTGGTGGAGAAGATGGCCAACATGATTCAACCTCAAATCCCAAGATTGACTAAGACAAATTATGGCAATTGGAGCATTCAAATGAATGCGTTACTAGGGTCCCAAGATTGTTGGGATATCATCGAGGATGGTTACACCGAGCCTGAAAATGCAGCAGCAGAAGCAGCCCTGTCCAATGAAAAAAAGAAGGTATTGAAGGAATCCCGGAGAAAATATAAAAAAACATTGTTCTTTATTTTTCAAGGAGTAGACGAATCTACCTTTGAAAAAATTTCTGATGCAAAGACCGCAAAACAAGCGTGGGAGATTTTGCAAAAATCTCTACAAGGTGTCGAAAAAGTAAAGAATGTACGCTTACAAACTCTCCGAGCTGAGTTTGAGATGCTAAAAATGAAAAATACAGAAAACATCGATGATTATATTAGCCGTGTGAAAATGGTCGTAAATGAAATGAAAAGAAATGGTGAATCACTCGATGATGTTAGAGTGATGGAAAAAATTTTGCGGTCATTAACAAGAAAATTCGATTATGTGGTGGTGGCAATCGAAGAATCAAAAGATTTATCTCATATATCGATTGATGAGCTTGTGGGTTCACTTCAAGCCCATGAGTAGAAAATGAAACAAAATGAGGATTCTGAAAATTTGGAGCAAGCTCTACAAAGCAAGATGAATTTCAACGAAGGAGAAGCTAGCATCAGCTACATACGAGGTCGAGGAAATCGTGGCGGTTATCGTGGAAGATAACAGAGGAGGACGAGGAACTCGTGGACGTGGTGGTCGACCATATGGCCCCGAACAAATGAGTGAAAATATTCCAACATCAGGTCGTGGACGAGGATTCAGAGGCCGAGGTAGGGGCAAATATCACCAAAGAAGTAAATTCCAGGTACTATGTTATAATTGCAATAAGTATGGTCATTATAGTTATGACTGTAGATCTGCTCCTAAACAAGAAGAAAGAAATAACGTAGCAACAACTGAAGAAGAAAAAATTGAAAAATCTCACGTATTCCTCACTTATAAAGGAAATGAGGAATTCAAGAAAAATATTTGGTATCTTGATAATTGTGCTAGCAACCATATGTGTGGTCAAAGGGAACTGTTTGTGAAATTAGATGAAACAGTTCATGGACGAGTAACGTTCGGAGATGACTCGCACTCAGAAATAAAAGGAAAAGGCAAAGTCATGATTACTCAGAGAAATGGAGAAAAGAAATATATTTCAGATGTTTATTATGTACCTGCTTTGAAAAGCAATATCATCAGTCTTGGTCAACTCCTGGAAAAAGGATATGAAGTGCAGATGAAAAACCGCTCGCTTGCCATTAAAAATAAAGAATGAGAATTGATAGCCCAAGTTGATATGACTCGAAATCGTCTCTTTACAATTGATATCGAGTCGGGAGAAGTCACGTGCATGAAGACCGCGATCAAAGATGATTCATGGCTATGACATCTAAGATATGGACATCTTGGATTTTCTGGTTTGAAGCTGTTATAAAAAACAAGCATGGTGAAAGGACTACCAGAGATCAACCCTCCAAATCAATTATGTGAGGCTTGCATCAAAGGAAAACAACATAGACAAAGCTTTGAAGTTGGTAAATCCTGGCGTGCCCGAAGACCACTGGAGATAGTACACACAGATATAGCCGGTCCTTTTGACATACCATCGCTTGGCGGTAACAGGTACTACCTAACTTTCATTGATGATTTTAGTAGAAAATGTTGGATTTATATCTTGAAAGAAAAGTCAGAAGCACTGGAAAAATTGAGAGAATTCAAAGCAATGTCGGAAAAACAAAGCGGTCAATATTTGAAGATACTCAGATCAGATAGAGGAGGCGAATATACATCAAAGTTATTTGAAGAATTCTGCAAAGAGCATGGCATCATCCATCAGTTGACAGCCAGATACACGCCACAACAAAATGGAGTTGCAGAAAGGAAGAATCGCACAATCCTGGACATGGCGAGAAGCATGATAAAAGGCAAGCAACTACCGAGAAATTTCTGGGCTGAAGCAGTTCGATGTGCAGTTTACTTATTGAACCGATGTCCAACAAAAAGTGTGAAGTATATGACGCCAAACGAAGCATGGAGTGGACAGAAACCAGGAGTTGGACACCTCAAGATTTTTGGATGCATCGCATATGCCCACGTTCCAGAACAGACTAGAAAGAAGCTTGATGACAGAGGAGAAAAATGTATTTTCATTGGCTATGATGAAAGAAGCAAAGCTTACAGATTATATAATCCTCTTACCAAGAAGATAATAATTTCAAGAGATGTTGAGTTCGATGAAGCAGACTATTGGAGATGGAGCAAAGAAGAAAAGAAAGTTGAAGGACTATTTTTTAAAGATGGCGATCTTATCAATCAAGATGAACAAGCTAATGATCAAGGTCCTCAACAAAATCTACCATTGTCGTCAAGCAGCAGCAGCGATGCTAGCAACATAATAGAAGATCCTAAAGCACCTCCCACATAACTTTGAAGATCCACAAGAGAGAGAAGAATGCCAGAAAGGTACAACGATTATGAACTAAATAATGTTTCACTTTTCTGCTTGCTTGTGAATAGTGATCCAATAACATACGAAGAAGCGGTTGAAGATGACAAATGGAGGAATGCAATGGATGAAGAAATTGCATCAATAGAAAGAAATGATACATGGGAGCTAACAAGACAACCAGAAGGCCATAATCCAATTGGAGTAAAATGGGTTTACAAGACAAAGACCAATAAAAAAGGAAAGGTCGAGAAGCACAAAGCGAGGCTAGTTGTCAAAGGCTATAAGCAAAGACAAGGAATAGACTATGATGAAGTATTTGCTCCAGTAGCAAGGATCGAGACCATCAGACTTCTCACAGCAGTTGCAGCACAAAAAGGATGGAAAATTTACCAGATGGATGTGAAGTCAGCATTTCTAAATGGCTACCTAGAAGAAGAAGTTTATATTGAGCAATCACCTGGATATATTAAAAAGGGACATGAAAACAAAGTTTACCGATTGAAGAAAGCTCTATATGGTCTGAAGCAAGCCCCAAGAGCATGGAATACGAGGATTGATGAATATTTCCAGAGAAATGGGTTCATGAAGAGTCCATACGAGCATGCCTTATACACAAAGAAAAATGAAGATGGTGATATCATGATCGTGTGCTTATATGTGGACGACATGATTTTCACAGGAAATAATCCAGGTATGTTCAATGATTTTAAGAAAGCTATGACTAAAGAATTTGAAATGACATATATTGGAGAAATGTCATACTTTCTTGGAGTTGAAGTGAAGGAAATGCAAGAAGGAATATTTATATCACAAAAGAAGTATGCAGAAGAAATTTTAAGAAAATTCAGAATGGAAGATTGCAAGCCGGTAGCCACTCCAGCAGAACCAGGAATCAAATTAAGTGTGAATTCAACAAGAGAGCAAGTGAATCCGACGTTGTTTAAAAGCATCGTTGGAAGTCTAAGGTATCTAACTATCACACGACCAGACATAACATACGCTGTGGGATTGGTAAGCAGATTCATGGAGAATCCAAAACAAGATCATTGGATTGCAGCAAAAAGAATCCTCAGATATGTCAAAGGTACAACAGGTCATGGTTTATTCTACACGGGATCAGAAAATTCGAAGCTGGTCGGTTATTCTGATAGTGATTATGGGGGAGACTTAGACGATCGAAAAAGCACAACTGGATATCTCTTTCATATCGGCTCTGCAGCATTTTCATGGTCATCAAAAAAGCAACAAACGGTATCTCTTTCAACATGTGAAGCAGAATACATAGCCGCAACAGCGTGCACTTGCCAAGCAATGTGGTTAAAGAATATTTTGAACGAGCTAAATGTGGCACAAGAAGAACCAATTACAATCTATGTCGACAGCAAGTCTACAATTTCTCTTGCCAAGAATCCAGTCTCTCATAGCCGAAGCAAGCATATTGATACAAAATATCACTTTATACGAGAGCAGGTGAAGAAAAAAAATGTGGAGCTAATGTAGAACTGAAGATCAAATAGCAGACATTTCACAAAGCCATTGAGAGCAGATATATTCAATCGACTCAAAGAAAAGCTTGGAATGGAAAGTCGAGTTTGAGGGGGAGTGTTAGAAGTCAAACTCTTGGAATTGTGTAGAAGTTCAACGTGGCAAATGGAGATAGATTCACAAGTAAACAAAACAAAGTGGAAATGCTTGGCAGTACACTAAACCACACATGCATATGTCGGCAAAGATTTTTCTTTAATTGTTTGAATTCACACGGTAACATGTCAAGCAAGAATTAAGGAGAGAAGTTGAGAAGCATCCAGAGGTCCTCAAATAAGTCGGTTATACAACCTATATATATGTGTGCTTAGCCTTTAGTTGGTGTGAGGAAGTGAGCGTGAATAAAAAAGTGAGTGAGCGTAAATACGATTTAGGAGTGAAAAAATAAAGAGATTTGAGAGAATTGTGAGAAAGCTTAGCAAAGCTATATTTGTGAGTTTGTAAAATAGCACAGTTAGTATTGCAGTATTGTAATATTGAGAGTGTCGTTGTAACATATTTTGTTTCGTATAAATAAAAATTTCTGAGTGTTATAAATTATCGTGAGCCCATCTACGCTTCCAACACAAACTCTCTTATTAATGTCCACAGGCAAAGTTTCCATCATTTTATATTTACTCCGAAAGACACGGGCCCAAAGTTGATTTTGATTATAAACCAAACGAAAACCAACTTTCATAATGAGAGCTTCATTTTGTAAAAGCATATTCGAAAACTAAGACCACTTTGTTGCATGGGCGTGTAAAGGGTATCCCATCGAACAAGAGGACATTCCTTTTTTCCTCCATACTTCCCCAACAAAGTTTCACATTGGACGCTCTATCTCCGAACAAACCCATTTTAGAAGATAGTAGGTTTGCGTCGCATATGCAGGAATGACCACTAGAACAGATTTTTCCATAATAACATGACCTATCATGGAGAGGTTTTTAGGTTTCCAACCAGTAAGACGGAAGAAGGAGATAAAAACTTTTTTTATAAATAAAATACAAACTATTAAGCTACCTCAGTTGTGCCAAGAAAGAAAATGTCACGACTTGGAGGGGCTTCCCGAAATTGCATCTAAGAGAACTTTCCGTGGTTTTTGATTTATTATATTTCCACTGTTGGTCTAAAAGTGTTAAAAACTTTTTAAATTTTTCTAAAATTAATTCATTATTATTTTTATACATTCAATTAAATCTTTGTACTTTGTAATATCATTCATTATTCCTTTTGATAAATATTAACGTTAAACATGACATTAATTTACATATCACATTATAATATTTGTACGTAACATTTCTAAAATTTTATTGATTTATTTATATTTTTTTATAATCCTAATAATATTTTAGAGTTTTCTTTTTTAATTGAGTGATGGTCACTAAACTTTTAAAGTTTTCTAATTCCCAAAACCCTAAGGTTCCAAATTGTCACCCACAATAAAGGTCAAGTTTCCAATGAACGGGGTGATCGTAAGTTAATCCTAACAAAGAAAAGACTCCGTTTAACTAGAAGATTAACATATTTGTTTTTATATTGATTTGACAATTGACAATGACATATAAGTTGTAATTTTTATTTCCGATTCGTATTTAAAGAGATTAAAAGATTTTTCAACTAGTTTGAGCCGAATGAAAGAATGAAAAGAAGAGGAGGTAATTTTTTCGACCTAACAAACCATCGAACGACGATGGAAGGAGTAAAGATTGCTAATTTGAAAGAAGACAAGTTAGGGGTTTAACATGTCAGGCCAACTTTTATTATAATGAAAGAGAATTAAATGTTTAATTGATATAATTCATGTTTTAGACCTTCAGTAACGAATATGAAAGCACTCTAAAAATTCAAAGACCATAGATGTAGTTTATCCAAAAAAAATATCATGTGACAATAATATTTCAAAAAATATTAATATTTAACAATAAATCATTTGAAAACTTATCTAATTCAATTTCTCAATAAAAAAATTCAATTTGATAAAAAATTGAATAATTAAATTTCCTTTAAAAAATAAATTTTTTTTTATAAATTTGAGGTGAATACAAGATAATATATATTAAAAAAAAACTTTGAACCTTCTTAAATCAAATTAACTATATTTGGACTCTATATTAAAAGATATGATGTTGGAAATAAAGTGGAACGTGTGGTAATGAATCATCATATATTTTTATATTGTATTCGTTTCAATTATGAATTAAAAGTTAGCAATTATGACTTAATAAAATATTACAATCAAATTGACATAAGAAAAAAAAACTGCATTACTTCATCACTCATGGTTACATGGAATCAAGCGGCCTATCATCTTTTTCCTTCAACAATAATATATTCATTTTTAGTAAAAATGGTTATTTAAAAATCTATCTTTAAAGTTGATCTATTAAAATTCCCACCTCGAGATTTCAATAAATATGGACAAAATTGAATAGGAGTTTCTGCCAATTATATGTCAACCCATCCTAATTTTTAAAAAAATAAAATAATTAATGCATATACAAACAAAATTCTAGAAGTCAAAATGGGGTTTAACTAAATAATTTCGTCCAATTTGCAATAGCTACGTGTCAAATATCAATTAATCGATTTTGACCTAAAAAGTCATTTTTTTTGGGACAAAGAGTTGATTTGATGTTTATTTGTCTAATTTGAGCTGATAATTTAAATATTAAAGCGTAAGCTTTTCTTCTCTTCTTCATAAAACCCTTCATTCATTAGAATGTGAGTTTTAAAGGTAAAAAATTATTAAAATTCATTTTTATAAACACGTATTTGTGATGGCATGAAGATGCCACTGGTTTTATGGGATGTGCTGATGAAACCTAAATCAGAAGTTGTTAGAGTTAGCTGGTTACATAGAGTGTTATGTTGAATGAGTAAAAAAGAACCCAAACACCCACCTAAATAAAAACATATACATACAGTTAATATATATATATATAATTAGAATTAGAATCAATCATCATACAATACCAATAGATAATTGATTATAAGAATATATTTTAATCTAAATAAAAAAAAGTTATAAACAAATACAAATACAAATTGAATAGGTGAAACTCAAACTTAAATACTAAAATACTTGATAACTAAGCCTTTGGTACTTGAGCAGAGTTGCTTTGGTGCAAATTACATGTTTTGAAAAAATGAAATAGCATGGTTAATGAAGAAATTGGAATATGATACAATCATAATATCTAACCAATTTAAGAGTATCTACATTAAAAAATAATAATAATAATTGAAAGTGATACATGATTGACTTATGAGAAACTCAAATCTCGAATGCTGCCAAGACTAGAAAAGAAGTAGGTCAATTTTGTTTAGCCTAATGCTACTCTCCTTTTTGACTTTAAGACCCATCAACACACATCTCTGCTTAATTTCATTTCTGCTACCTTCTCCCTACCACCTCTACAATAGATATTAATCTTATCCCATATGTTTAAAAATAAATAATTTTTTTGTTTGTTTCCTTTTTTCCTGCCTCTGTTATCATTCTCCCATTATTATTTCCCTCGAGTGAACAAAGATGCATGGCTATTGAAAATATTGTAAGAAAGTGCATGCGGTAGACTTTTGCTCATGATTAATTCAAGTATCAAGATATTATTGTACGAAAGCAATATCGGCTATATATTTGGTTGGATTTTCCAACAAATGGAAGTCATGGAATTCCTATTGCGACATGAATACATTTAATATAACAACCTTTTCCTTTTTAGAGCTTAATCCATGTCCGCCATGAACATCATGGGCATCATCTCTCTACTTCGTAATTTGCCGAGTTAACTTTAAATTGTTTATACTCTTTTTTAACATAGTGGAAGCAACTGTTTCGAAAACAATGCAAGGAGTCGAGATTTCCTTTTAAAGTGAATATACACAGCACTGAATCTTGGAAGTTATTGTGCGAAAAAAGACTATATATATATCATCACTGAGAATGATTAGTATAGGAAAATGGACATTCTGTTATAATCAAGCACATACTTGAGACATAAGCATAGTGTAGAAAGTAATGGTGTTTTGATCTATTTGGCAGTAAATTAGTTCAAGACATGTGAACTGATCAACATGCGCTTTCAAAGGTTGCCCGACTGTTCTAAATTGCTGCCATGAAACCATAGTTACATGCCCCAGTTTGCTAAAGTCTAGTAAGTCGATGCCAAAACGTCAAAGCACCTTTTTATTTACTTTGATATTGAGCTTGTTCAGGAATGTAGGGTTATAAAATTTTAGGGGACAAAATCAGATTTTTAATAGAAAAAAATACATAAAAAAATATATATAATAATTTTAAAATTCCAAGGGAACGACTGCCCTATCTGCCTTTCGGTCCATCCCGCATAGATGTATAGGAGGACATTCAATCCATGTATTACAAAGAAATGAAAAAGTACGTTGTAATTAAGAAATGTATACCATAAAGCTCCTCGGACAGTTCTGATCATGGAGACCAGAAAATTTGTTAAAAGCTTATTGAAGTTCCAAATATATGACCTGCAAAGCAGAACCGGCCGATTCAACTGATTTAGGGTTCCACATTCAACATTATTGAACAAAGCAAACGAGTCTAAAAGTTAAAAGTTTAAAGAAAACCCAGATGAGAATATGTGTAATACTTCATATGGATAATTTAAAGAAGATTAATCAACTAGTTTTGAGGAGAAAGCAAATGGAAAAATTATAAAATAAAATAAAAAGTTGAATTACAAAAACAAAACAATATATTTCTGCATGAATTCATTAGGAGTTTTTTTTTCTCTGATGGAAACCAAACTAATCCCCTAGTTGATTCAAATTTACACCACCCATGCATACAGCGCAGTTATTGTGGCCCGAAGTAGTTTGGTTCTTCGTAGATAGAAACTTGTGGGATACTTTGTTGTTGGGAAGCTTCAAATCCAGAGACAGTTTGAGGATAGGGCAGTGAATTTATGTCTCCCCAGCTGCTACTTTCGACCGAACTTGTCCCAATACTGCTGCCATCGACCAGGTTGTCTGTTCCGTAAAAGCCCTCAAACACATCCAATATCTGCTGATCGTTGCTGTAGATCAGCTCACTTAGTTCCGCTTGCAAACCATCAAGGCCTTGAAACATATCACTAGGACCATCAACATCGTTAACAGTAAACTGGGTAGTACCATCTGTTACTTGAGTACAAGTACTGTTTAAGGGACTGAGGGAAGAAGCCGATGGAAGTATGTTCATGGAATTCTCATATGGCTGCTCTCGAGCAAAGGGAACAATGGGATCGTATCGAAAATTCATGGGGTTGTAGGTGGATTGTGGATGATCATCGGAGAATCTTCCTCCTAGTTTGACAAGAAAATTCCTGATGGAATCTTGGGGATCTTGGTGTGTGGTTGGTAGGGGCATGACTGGTGGTGGTGGCAGCAGTGGCCAGTGTGATGCTTGGTTCACCATTCCAGGAACTTGATAATTCTCACTTTCTCTCTTCATTTCATGCGTAAAGGTAAGGCAGGTGGCTCTCCGAGCTTGCTGATCTTTTCTCTGTTTTCCCAGGAGCTTCTTTTTAAGCTTTGTGTTCCAGTAGTTCTTGATATCATTGTCGGTTCTCCCAGGCAGTTGTGCTGCAATTATAGACCATCTGCGCATTCAAAAAAAAAAATAAGCATATAAATTAGAGCGTAGTTCTTAAGAAGAAGAAAAAAAAACCCAAGTATGTGTAATAATCATATATTTACCTGCTTCCAATGCTTATGTAAAGGCTACAAATGATATTATCTTCTTCTTCTGAAAATCCTCCATGTCTGATGTTGGGTCGAAGATAATTCAACCATCTAAGACGACAACTCTTGCCACACCTCTTAAGCCCTGAAATTTGGTACAGTTCAAAGAATTAAATCATGAGAAAGGAAACTTTGATTACAGTTGTATATAAAAATAACTGAAGTATTGCTAACCTATCTTCTTAGGCAAGGCAATCCAGTTGCCACCAGTGCCGTTGGCCTCAATATAAGCCTTGAGAGTGGCGTCTTCCTCCGGCGACCATGGTCCTTTCTTCACGTTAGCTTTGTCACAGCAAGGAGCTCTCCCCATGTTTGTTGAGTTGAGAAAGAGAGTTTCAAAGGAATTTATCTGCTCTATTCTTGTCTCTTGCTTGACAACAATGAGAGACTGGTAATATATATAATCACACCAGAGAAAAAGAGAGGGGGAGACTATAATGGCCAGAGGAAGACAGATTTGAAGATTAGAAATGTGTCCCCCAGGATTTAAAAAAGGGGAATGAGAAAAAAGAAATTCAAAAAAGATGAAACTTTATGCATAAAATATTGAAGAAATTAAAAGTGGAAGAAGAAGAGAGCAGGATTTTTCTTATTGTCTTTCTATTACCAGAATCTATGATAATCTTGAGTGTTTCTTTTTTATTTAAATGATGATACAATTATTTATCATTTAATTAGCTGGTTGCTGTTACATTGATCACCCATCTCTCTATAATTTGACTCAATCGCTGATATAGGCCTGACACATGATCAACGGTTTATGATCATGGAATTTAGTGGACCCGGCAATGGGTTGTGTAATTAGTGAAAAAGATGAGACGGTGAAGGTTGAATGGTTCTTGGGTTAATAGAACGTCGATTTCTCGGTAATTGCCTTGATTATGTAAGGATTAAACGTCATGGTTTTCGGCCAAATTTGGATCAAACATGGGTTAGACTAGAGATGATAAACGAGTACAATTTTGTGGATTTCGTATTGTACTCGTTTCAATTGGGGTAGGGATGTGTATAACTTTAGTGGGTAGTGGGCGGGTGTGGATTTAGAGAGTAGTACCCGTCGCGGGTAGTGGGCGGGTAATGGGGTTGAGACCTTATCCGCCCTGCATCCGCCCGCCTCACATCCTCCCTCCCCACATCCGCCCGCCCACTAAATACCCATTAAATTTTGGATCATTATGAATTTAGATATAATTTTTAGAGACTAATTTATAAATCTTAATATTGTATAAGATATAACTTATAATTTATGTACTTTAAGATCTATGTTAACACTTAACTCAGATAATCCCTGGTTTATTTTATTATGTTTCTTAATAGACGTGTTTGTTTTATGTTTGTTGCTTATGTATAACTTAAGGTTGCTGTCAGGCGGGTTTAGTCGAGTACGTCTCCAGTTGGGTAGTGGGTGTGGGGATGGATTTGAGAATGTACCCGTGTGGGCGGGTGTGGATTTGAAAAATTTTACCTATCATGAGTGGTGTGCGGGTGATAAATTTAAAAATATTATGTGGGTATAGAAATGGAGGAGGGGGTATCCGCACCCGACCCATCCGTTTGCCGTCTCTAGGTTAGACCAATCGCTATTGAGTGTTGAGGAAGAAAATACCAATGTTGATAACAAAAACATACGCTAGGATATAGCTATGAAATGTAAATGTGCTGTGAATACAGAAAAATACAAAATTTGTATAACATAGATTATTATTTTTAGGGTAAATTCCACGTTACTCACTAAACTTTACTCTCTATCCTATTTCACTCACCAATTTGCTTAGTGAACTTTAGACATTGAACTTTTTTATCACTCATTTGATGACATGGATTATTTTATTATTTTCTCATATGACATGTCATATTTTATTAATATTTTTTAATAAAAAAATATGATTAAAACAATTTTTTGAAAATTACAATTATACCCTTAAATTATACCCAAATTCTCAAATTATATCCCAATCCCTAATCCCCATATTACAACCCACCCACCATCACCCTTGTCAAGTTCACCGTTCCATCAGCGGCCACCCTCCCACCGACGAACGGTCAAGTTCACCTCTGCCCCTCACTCTCTTGTTCATCTTTCACGACCCTCAACCAAACCAATTAATATAGCCATAGAATTACCCTTTGTTGATTTTAGTTCAAAACCAGAACCCAAACACAACAAAAATACCAAACATTCCAACAAAGAAATCAACGATTCAACACCAAAGGGGAAAAATAAATTACCTCGACTTAATCAATGATTCAACACTAAAAAAAGGGCCACTGGAGACCACTGTGGGAGCAGCTGCAATCGTAGCCATCGTCGGCGTTAACCCAAGCTGCCATGGAAACTTGAATGTGGGGGTGATAATTTTAATTTTAGGGTTTGGGTGTATATTTTAATATTTTTAAATTTATTTTATATTATAATCCTAAATAATATTAAAATATTAACAAAAACATGACATGTCATATGGGAAAATATCAACATAATCCAATGCATCGAACGAGTGATCAAAAAAGTTCAATGTCTAAAGTTTAGTGAGTAAATTGAAAAAAATTAAATATACGATGAGTGAAATAGGAGAGAGAATAAAGTTCAATGAGTAAGAGTGTAATTTACCCTTAAGTAATTTAAGCATCAATATATGTATCAAAACGCAATGGTATAACTAAGCAAATGGTTAAGTTTATACCAGGACTACACTTAAATTAACCTCATTAGTATTTTCTTATAAATAACTTTTATTTTAGAATATATGACAAAACCTGGTTACTTAACTTTCTCACTTTCAATTCATCACCGTCAGGTCACCCTTAGATTTAATAGAGAAACCTATGTACAATTAATAGAGAACTATTAGGTATTAGTTGAAATTTTCTTTCTTTTATTTTTACTATTATTTTTTATAAGACAGGTTAAAGTTGAATTGATATATTCTTTTTGACCTCTTAAATTTACCGGTTCTTACTAAATGTATAGGTTAGCTCAAATTAATTTTAACGGTGCAAATATGATTTATTAAATAAAAAAAATTTTATTTACATTAATATATATACGGTAGGAAAAAAACGATAGTTAAATTGATGTTTTATGCTTTATTTTTTATTTGAACAAAAAGTTATTGGGGGTTATCTTGTAAAAGTATGAAATAAGATTTATTCTACCTCTTTATTTATGTTGGATACTTTATTATTATTATTATTTGCTAGTAAACTAAGGTGATTATAAGGTAGTACTTGTTCTAAATACTCTCAATCATTTGACAACGAACATTCAATAACCTTACTGCAGTCGTTGGTGTTCATACCCGTAACATCTAGGAACAACAACGGTTCTTTTAACCACTGAGGTAAGTTGATTCGTGTTAAATACTTTATTATTTACCTTAAGTATTTGATGGCCATCCGATTGTTTTTTTTTTGTACACAAAAGTTTAGGTCAGGGGTGGCTTCCCCAATCCATAGCCAGGGCATACCTAAGACCCAATTGGGATTTACATAGGACTTTACAAATTGCCCACCAAGAATGACGGTGGTGGGATTCAAATTTGGCCTTACAAGCTCAAATTCCTGAATCCTAACCACTTGTGCCAACACTCATTGGCAATGTCATCCGATTGTTAAGTAATTAGATTAGATGCAAAACTATATATGTTGAGTTTAGTTGGACTCAAATTATCACCAACTTAATATATTGCTCTATTATCCAATATATAATATATTAGGCCATATAAACTATTTATTATTAGATTTCATGAATAACTTTAAAATAATACCCTCTAAAATAACATAGTGTAACGGAAGTGTAGCAAATTATATTGTTTAAAAAATATTAACATAAATATGTTTTAATAATAATAATATTTTTACTAAAAGTAAGCGACAGTAATTCCAAATCCGTGGATCAGTTCGTATTGAAAAGATCTTATGTCGTACATAATCAATTTGGACTAAACTTGTTGAAGTAATTGGAAAAACTGAATTGTTAGGCGTGTTACAAATAGGCCATGTGCCCTGAATGATTTAAGAAAGAATTCAAAGACATATTTTAAATATTTGAATTATACACATTCTACTAAATTAGTATTTAAAGTATCTTTAATTTAAAGTTAGTATTTAAATTATATTTTTTTTCTTCAATTGATTTAAAGAATTTTACTCTCAAGTTGATTCTTAAATTTTAATTTGATCAATTATTTTAATATTTTATTAATGGTATTAACTTTTAATGACATGACAATATAAGATCATATCGCATGTATGATAATATAATCATGTGTACTTTTTTTTAAAAAAAATTATGAGAAATATTAAAATTCCAAAAAGTTAGAAAAAAAATAAAATATATTTTTAATAAAATAATAAAATGTCTTAAATCTCATAAATTTAATATCTAAAACACTTTAAAAAAAATTGAATACCAAATTGAAAAAAAAATCAAATATATATCAAAGCGAAGAAAAAAAAAACAAATTGGCTAGTTTTGTAGTGCTACAAGGGAACCAACATAGGTAAAAGGAAAAACAAAAGTGGTATAGAACAGTCAAACGTAGAAAATGGAAGGGGTATTACTATTAAGTTAGGCTATTAGGTAAGTTATTAAAGGCAGCCAAGAAGAAGAAAAATACACTTGGAATACTTGGTCCATGCTTTGAATCCACTCAAATAATGGAATGGGTTCAATCTATGGGTAGATTATTATTATTATTATTAGTATAAAATAATTAAATTAATGATTATATATGAAAATATTGATAAAACCGAAGCAGAGGCGAAAGGCCACTATCATGTCAATTGCGTCACGAAACTCACCTCATTTCTTCCCTCTTCTACCATTTTCATTCTTTAATATATAATATTCCTAAAATTTGTTCCCTCAGGCCTCACCTCGTACCGCATGTTTCCGCACTTGTCCACTAATGCAAGACATAAATTAATCTATTTCCAATTCCAAAAACAAACAAATACGAATAGTAAATTAATTTTAGGATCAAGCTTAATACAATACTAAACTATACCCCTAGTTAAGCTTCGGGAGATTACGATAAAATATCAAATATTATATCCATATTTTTGAATAAATGCAATTTTTATTTATCCAGAAGAACAGCAAAACTGCCAATAAAACAAAACCACAATTCAACCAAATAAGGCCAAAACATTAATACAAACGAAGCAAGGCCTCCCCCCTAATCAAACAAACAACATCGTCTATACCAATCCCCAATCGTTACACAACGTACTGTTAGCATTGCTAATCTTTTGAACTCCGACCTTCCCGTGCAAGCGCCAACGACGGTGAACCATCGCATTTCATGCAAACTGGAGCACGATCGTGAGAAGAGATCTTCTTTTCAACCTCTTCACCGTCCAATTTAAGTCCAACTCCCATCTCATAACTCCACGATGCAAATTATAAGCTCTCAAAACCTCAGCCCACACTTCTTGGAATAAGAACTACCAAAGAAAATGTGGTTCCTGTACTCATACTCCCCTCAACGCAAAACACAACCTCTTTCCACATGAAGACCAAGAGGAACAAGTCTATCACTTGTGAACAATTTATTCAAAATGACCATCTAAGAAATCATAAAATGCCTCAGAATATGAA